ACAGATATGAGTGAGGTTGTCAGAAACTGAAAGATCTGGAGTGTACATTCATATTATATACCTAGATGATCTGTGGATGAATGCAGACTTAGTCATATCATAAAGCCAACTATAAATGCAGTTCTACCAGAAGAATTCATTGGAGCATATTTTATCATAGACCTTGACTTCAGACACAACACCACTAACTCAATTCCTTTTAAAACAATTTCTGTCAACAAAGATTCTGAAGGAGTTTGCCTTGATACTATAGGGAGAGCATATTTTCACTATGTTACCTTAAGACTAGACAACTTTCTTTTTGCCATAATAAAGCTAGAGAAAACTTGCTCATCCTAATGTACCACAAAACATCAAGCCAGTCTATTACATTCATAACATTAAACTGATTGGGTTAGGTGAGAAGGAAGTAGTGAATATCCATGATCCTACATAAGATAAATGCTGGAGCATAGTGAATAAACTCCAGGAAAGTTCAGTGACTTCCAACATTTATGAGATGGGAAATGTTCAGTAGTATAGGCATAAAACAGGCCTTCTATAGTAAGTGATATATTGCTCTCCCTTATTTTAAATGATGTAAAACAAGGCACAAGTCATGGTGACATCTTTTGATTTTGGAAGCAGCATAAGCCACACTTTGGTATGCTGCACTGCTATGTGCATTACATAAACGACAGAACTTCCAGTTCTGAGAGGAACCTGGGACATAAAGGATTTGCAATATTATTCTGTCTTAAGGAAAGCTACCCTTCACTCGTTACTAAGGGCAGAACATACAATGATTGAGATGGCAAATGGAGGTGTGTGAAATCTCTGTCAGTGGAAGGCTCTGCGTGCAGATTCCTAATAGTTTTGCAGTAAAGAACTTCAATTTAAAATAATTCTCCATTTAAAAAAGCAGCTCCAAAATTGCTGGATGTTCTTTAAGACTTAGTAACAGATACAGAATTCCAAACAATTAAGCGGACCAAACTATTCATCATGAAGTATGATCTGATTCAACATATCTGAAAATAAGAGGTACAATATTTTATTATTAACGTAAGACCGAGTAGTTTGGGACAGCCATATGTAGTGATAAGCAAATAACTTGTGTCCACAGTAACTGCTAATACTATGTCTACATCTGTTCCCTTAATACATATAATCATGTTCTGGGTTGTTCCCTAGAACAATTAACAGAGAAAGAAATAAAGTGGGCCTAATTTGTAAATGACTTGCATGGTGTTTGGCACTAGCTGTGATCTCTGTACTTTCAACTCCACTTCAAGGGACTAACATTGAGGTAGCTGTGAGAGGTTATCTCCCAGCAGCTAGGATTTCAGCTCCTACATCTGATTGCACACTTTATGTGGAAGAAGAGATAGCTGAGGTAATGATACATCACATGACCATGTGGTCAATGAGTTCAAAGAACTAAGTGGAAGACTGGAAGTAGAAGGTGTAGGGGGGATTATGTGGATGCCTTTTTTTAAGAATTGGTACAAAATCTGGTAATATGTCACACTAATTCCTTTTCAGAATATCCACTGTGTAGAAAATTCTTAATAATCTAGAAAAAGTAAAGCCAAATGTTTACTTTCTGCCCTAGTTTTGCTCGACGGGCCATGTACATGGAAATACTAGGAGAAAGGATAGCAATTATATATGAATTCAACTATAAGGACATGTAACACATTTAATTGTTTCTAGTTCTGAGCTAAAATATTCAAATGCTGAGATCCTGATATGGAACCAATTGCCAAGTATTTTACATTGGACTCCTTTCAACATAGAAGAGACAGAATTTTATTACCAGAGGAATCTCTAGACATTTAGGATAAAGATTTGCCTTCTCCTTCAATGTATTTTTGCACACTTCATGCATGGATTTAACAGAATCTCCCATGTGATATTCCTTAAGCATTGCTTTCTACCAGGAAACTGATTTTAGTGGCAAAAAACAACAACAACAAAGATTAGCACCCTATAGAATTCTCTTGTCTCCCCTCCAGCTCCATCATCAGAACCAGCTGGCTAATGGAGGGTAAAATGGCCTACAAGTGGAATGCTTCTTATAGGAATGCCAGCTTGGAGTTTTTGGATGTTCTATAGGATGGAGTATATGCCCAAAGTCATTCTTCTATAGCCAGAATGACTAAATCTGAGAATAGAGATGTTAAAGGAGTGGTTACTCTAACACATTTCTCTATCCCAAACCCTTGGGATTAGAGCTTTGGAGATCTCAGTCCTTAAAGAAGTGTGCTTCTTTAAGTTCTGGCATGGCTGCATTAAGATCTATGAACACTCATTGGTTATTTTAGGCATCTCAAGTTGTTGAACTTATAGGGAAAGAAATGGGCTGATAATATTTCCAGATTACCAAATTGACTTTAAGCAGAGCCAAGAGAGAAATAGTTGAAATTCTTGAGATTCATTGTCATATTTTTCAAACTTATAATTCTGGTTACTGAAGAACTGGAGTAAACCAAGAAATACAGTACTATCAAAAACTGGCTAAGAATTAAGACTTGGGTTACCAGATAATGAATCTTATTTTGTCCAGGAGGATGGTCTAGGCTAAACAAAGAGGATTAGAAGAAGATGTAAATGAGTAGAGGAAGGAACTTAAATTAAAAGATCAATTTTGAAAGCTGGGCACTGGTGGTTCACGCCTGTAATCCAAGCTACTCAGGAGGCTAAGATCTGAGGGTCATGGTTCAAAGCCAGCCTGGGCAGGAAAGTCCATGAGACTCTTATCTCCATTAAACCACCAGAAAACCAGAAGTGCTGCTGTATCTCAAGCTGTAGAGCCTTCACCTTGAGCTGAAGAGCACAGAGACAGCGCCCAAGCCCAGAGTTCAAGCCCCACGACTGACAAAAATAAAAAAATATCAATTTTGAGATTTTTGACTAATTAGAGAAAAATAGGCTTCAGTAGCTAAGTCTTACATTCTAGTCATTATGAAGAGCATTGCTGATGGTTAATATAAATTCTTTTGTAAGTAAAATAAATTAATATTACTCAATGATGCAGTAGCTGAGAACCTTCTCTATAATCAGCCCCGATTCTCTTATTCATATTTATTTGACACTGCTGTTTATATACAGAAATCATGGTGTGGTATTCTATATTTCAAAACAGCACAAAGCAGTTATCAGGATCATATCTTTATGAAAATAGATAAAATAACATGCATATAATAAGCTGTAATATTAAAAACAAAACAGAATTCTGTAAAGAATGAAGCACTATAGTTAACTATTATATGAAGTTGAAGCAAAGCTTATATTCATAAAATCCTAATCATTGTGTATATTTTTGTCAACTCAGTAATATTTCATAAATCAAAATATATAGCTATCTAAAGGAAATATATGGCCCATCTTAAAATATCTTTCAACATAAGGTATATTTCAATAATCAAAAGAGATAATTTTAAGAGAATTTTCCTAGCATAATTTTGAAATAACAAAATGGAATAACTTTTGAGTGAGGAAAGAAAGTAAAATGCATACTTAGAATATTTTGTCTTAATGTTTTCATTAAATTTATTTTAAAAAAATAACCCCAGATGGGCTGAGAAGGTGGCTCAGTGGTAGAGTGCTTGCCTTGCATGCATGAGGCCCTTGGGTTCAATTCCTTAGCACCTCATAAGCAGAAAAACCTGGTAGTGGCGCTGTGGCTCACGTGGTAGAGCGCTTGCCTTGAGCTGAAGAGCTGAGGGACAGTGCCCAAGCTCAAAGTTCAGACCTCACAACTGACAAAAAAATAAAAAATAAAAATAAATAAACATAGCCGGGCGCTGGTGGCTCACGCCTGTAATCCTAGCTACTCAGGAGGCTGAGATCTGAGGATCGTGGTTCAAAGCCAGCCCGGGCAGGAGAGACTGTGAGACTCTTATCTCCAATAAACCACCAGAAAACCGGAAGTGGTGCTGTAGCTCAAGTGGTAGAGCACTCGCCTTGAGCTGAAGAGCTGAGGGACAGCGCCCAGGCCCAGAGTTCAAGCCCCACGACCAACCAAAAAAATAAAAAAAAAAAAATAGAAAATGACCCCAGATTTACTATTTAATGTGTGAATCATTTTAAATAATTTACATTCATGTTAAAAATTCTGTTCAGTCTTAAAGACAGGAAAAAGTGTAAAGAAAGATAACATTGTCTTTACTACCTTCAGAATATTTAATACAAACTCTCATAGTTGAAAATTTATGCTTTCCTCATATTTATATTAAAATTAAAGTTTAATGTGTCATTATAGACAGAAAAGGCATATAAAACTAGTTTGAGAGTATTCTATATTAATTCCCTACCTTTAACTTCTTAGTTATCGCAATTTATGCAAACAGTGAAATGGGATTTATTCAGATTTCTTATCCTTATTTTCTCTTTTATATATTTATTCTGGCATTAAAAAGCCAAATGCTCTAGATTATTAAATCATGTATAAAGCAGAGAAAAGTTTCAGATAGTGTATAACAAATATAATTTGAGAAACAAAGAAACAAAAGGAGAGTTAAAATATAATTAGTCTTAACAGCCAAATTTTAATGAGTATAGTATTATTTGGTTTAAAAATAGTATTTTCTCTGCCATTGAAGTCTGAACCTGATTACTGTATCAGGGGAAAAAAATCACAGTTTTCATTTCCTTTGTGGTAACTGTAGAATTTTATTCTGGCATTTCATTACATCTTCAATCATCCTAGGTTAACCATTTTACTATGGTCATTACTATTACTAATTATAAGGTTAAAAATCATAGAAAATGTATATAACAGCTGTTTTTCTTCCAACATCAAGAAATAAGAATAAGGCACTCATCAGTTGACGATGGTTTATAACTCAAAACAAGAAGGGCCTTTGGCACTCTGCAAATTATTGGTTATTTAACATACACAAACTCACTAGGTAGTTCTTTGCTCCAAACCAAACTGTATTACTTAGTAAAATTACGTAGCAATTTCTTGCATTCTCATATTTTAGCATTCTTCTCAAAAACTAGATGCCACTTACCAGAATGGGTCCTGAGGTGTCCTGTGAGGGCGTCCCTTCTTCTACATGCGTAGCTACAGAAAGGACATTTGAACGGCTTCTCTCCAGAGTGTAACTTTATGTGTCTCAGAAGGTTGCCCTTCTGAGTAAAAGAAGCTCCACACTGGTTACAGTGGAAGGGGCGTTCACCTGCAGAGAGAAGTGGGAAAGATGTGTACTTTACTTACCAGTGACTGATTCGGCAACCACTTAATCAAAGCCCTTCTCTATGTTCAGGATGTTCATCAGAACTCCTTCATAAGTCTTCTGATCACTGATCTTCTAGATTGTACATTGCTAACAGCAATGTCTCTAGTTTTAGGTCAAGCTGTCATTTCTCCATTTCATATTAACTGGACAAAGTATTTACCAGTAGTTGAGTACCTAGGTACAATCACTTTACTACCTTGAGGTTGCATTATACACAGCATTAAACTCTTGTGATGACATTAATAAATTGATATTATGAATTTCCATTTCTAAGTGAAAACAATTTGAATTCACGTATCACAGAAACTGATAAGAATCACAGAGCTAATGAGTGCTCATGCTGTGTTGAACTTGGTCAGTTTGAATACAAATCTTGTTCCTTTTATTTTGCCATGCTATCTCTTTAAAATTCATAGAAATCTTACACTGAATGGAATAATTTGTCTAACTTTCTCACTCAGCTTTTAAGGAAAAGGAGCCTACACAGGCATATTATATGAAGGAGCGTTGATGCTCATCACAAGATCCCCAAATACTGCACAAGTATCTTGATTCTCCTGGTAAACAGTGAAACTTTTTGCAAAATTTCCTGATAGAGTAGGATAAAAATTCAAAGAAAAATTTCATCCATACATTCCCCCAATATTCTTTACAATGATCTTCTGTTTAATGGGAATATCCTCTCATTTTTCTCTTATTGCTAATATTGCTATAATTGTATAAGTCTGAATTAACAGTTTAGTCTATGGTGATAGTCTCCTTAATAGTGTATTTCCACTAACTAATGTCATCAAACATAAAAACATGTGTGTAATGAAGCAGTAAAATAGTCAACTAAGCTCAAACTGATAGTATTATTAAACCATAGAGAAAATATTCTTACATTAACTTTGCCTTTCACTAAGGACAGAGTTAGGCAATAAATGAATAAATAACTGAATAAGTGAAATAAAGTACAAACTAATATATAAGGAAATAGTAAAGCTATATTGTCCTAAAGCTCAAAGTTTAGAATAAAAAAATATAATGACAACAACTCTTTTGATTGAACTGAGTATTTTCTTTACTTGAGACTAGATGATGTCTATAATATCAACAGTGTTTTAAGCAATTGAAACTGATTTGTTCTTAGCTGAAACATTCATAATAATACTGAATAATTGAAACTCAATATATTGTTTGGCCCTTGATATAATTCAAACACATTGACTCTTATGAAAGAAAGCTAGGCCTCACCATAAAGAAGACAGACCATTTACAGTCACTTTCTAGCAGACAGCTACTGAAAGTTCTGTTCTATAGTTTTGTTAAAAAGCTTAGAGAAATTTGAAAAAAAATCGATAGGACATGTGTATCTCAAATTGTGTAGTGCTCCATTTGGAAGTTAATGACATATACTAAAAGAATATAATCTTTCTGGGTGGTAGGAATTAACGTTTCCCCCCCTTAAAATGTTGAAAATCCTACAGTGAAGTTTACAAGAGGCTCTATAATAATATAAGGAGTTAAAAATATTCATCATTGTTAATGTTACCTTAAATTTATCTTATTTAACTAGTTTGATTCATTTGGCAAAATCTAAAACCTGTTCTATGAAGTCTTATTGAACAGGTGAAAGTGGATGGTTGAGCCAGGTGCTGGGGGGCTCACATCTGTAATCCTAGTTTCTCAGGAGGATCAAACTTTGGAGCCAGCCCGAGCAGACAAACTCAAAGGACGCTAATCTCCAATTACCCAGCAAAAAAGCTGAAACTGGAGATGTGATTCAAGTGGCAGAGCACCAGCTATGAGAGAAAAAGCCAAATGAGATCATGAGGCTCTGAGTTCAAGCCCTAGTATTGGGACACACACACACTAAAAATCTGATGATTGTAGTTTACTTATTTTTCCCATTTCACTTATATAAATAAAAGCTTAATTTGATTCTCTGAATTTGCATTTTTTCCTCCAATAAAATAGCAGCATAACATGCTTTTGAGAAGTGAGACTGAGGTTTGAATTCGTGACTTTCATACTTGCTAGGCAGGAGCTTTACCACTTGAAGCAAGACTCAAGCTACTTTTTCACAACATAACTTTCAAGAATTACAATTATCTCCGTCCCACCCCTGCCATGGAATTGGAAGTAAAAAGAAAGAGGTACTTCCTTCACAAATTAACTTAAGTGAAAAGGAAGAAAGCAACAAATAAAAATTATAGTGTTCATTTAAAGTTTTCATTTTTACTTTTGGAACCAGTATATGTAAATTTTCCCAGTCAAGTAACAAGTTATTCTGCAATAACTTTTAAGGAATGAAGCCGTTGGTGGTTGCCTTTAGGACATAAAGCCATCTATAATATTTGAATTGAAATACTGAAAAAAATCTCTCACTTAGATTAGTTAATTTATCACTCAAAATTAATGCTAGTCTATGGGCTGGGAAGATGGCTCAGTGGTAGAGCGCTTGCCTTGCATGCATGAGGCCCTGCGTTCGATTCCTCAGTACCACATAAGCAAAAAAGAAAAAAGCCGGAAGTGGCGCTGTGGCTCAAGTGGTAGAGTGCTAACCTTGAACTGAAGAGCTGAGGGACAGTGCCCAGGCCCAGAGTTCAGGCCCCACGACTGGACCCTCCCCCACAAAAAAAAATAATAATGCTAGGCTAAACAAATTAATAATACCAGAAGAACCTTTTTGTTACAATAAGTTTTAAGTTCACCTACTTCAGTTTATGGGATTAATGATGAGGTAATTGAGCTTTTATATTTACAAATCCTCTAAATAGAGACTTTTTTTTTAGTGGCAGAGAAAGTGTTTCTGAATTTATATAATTACCCTAAAAGAAGGGTGGAGAAATGAAAGGAATATAGAAACACCTGGAAATGTTGTCAGACTGCTGAGCATGCAAATCATGGTATGGAAGTCTGGAGGTCTTTGTACACTGCTGTGACCATGAGAAATGAAGAAAAGGTATTATTCAGGTCACCACTCAGTCTCTTCCATTGGTGAGAGAGAAAGCTCTGAGAGCAATGCACCTTGGTCAACCAGATAAGGCTTTGAGAAACACTGATGGGAATTATGATGTTCTTTTAGATAGCAACTCTATAGTGTCCCTGATTTTATGGTAAAATCTATTTCACTATTAATGCCTTGATTGTATGAAATGATAATGACCATTTCAATAATACAGTTTTAAAAAATTATATTCAACAATAAAGCAGTTGAATTACAGTGACATTCTCAATACTGCCAATTACTGGAACAAGAATGAAAGCAGAAAATGATCTAAAACTTTTTTGAAGTATACATGTATTTCAGAAATACTCCAAATACAATAAACACATCATGTCTGCTTAATAACAAAAAGAAGTAAATTAATTAACTCACATTTTGAAAGAAAATTCTGTAAGACATTAGGAATCCTTTTATTTGAAGTATGGGATATTCCATGACTTGGACATTACAGAGGTATATGTAAATCTACCTGATATTTAAGTAAAAAGTTAACTCCCTTTATAAAAAAGTATATATACAAAAATCTGTATATTGTCCATGGAAAGTTAAACAACACAACTTAACTATTTGGTGTTTAAATGGGCCAAATACATACATATATATATATATATATATATATTGTAAACCCCACATCATTATAAGCTACACTAATAATATTATGAAATAATCAATGTAAAAATCTATGAAGCTGCTCTACATGTGGCAGTTAGTCTTCCTATTGATGGGCAGAAAAGTCTGGCCTAACAACTCTAGGAGAACAAATAAGACAGTCATGCCTGCTTCATATCCTGTCTCAACTGTGCTTTCTACACCCCAGTCTTCCAATCTACTCATCCATGTATATTCACTGGATGAATTTATATGTCATGTTTATTATGGAATACTATGGAATGCATTATATTTCAATAGCTTACACATTTTCATAAGTATATATTTTTAAATATATATTTAAAAATTTTACATATTCCAATGAAATGCAAATACATCTGCATAAATTTGCCTTTGTAAATAAAAGGCAGATGGTGTTCCTGTGATAGATGGGACAATTACCTAGACATATACAAAATCCAAGCACCTTTGTAGAGATCCCAGGCAAGAAAATGGCTATGGCAATACATGGTGCTCAAAATTTAGTCACAAAAAGGGGACTACTTCATTCCAAAGAAGAGCAAAATTAAGCATTTTCTATACTTGCAGTGGTCTCATCCATTCCTTCTCATGTCTGAATGGATTTATTACCCCTATGTGTTTCCTTCACCCTATATTCCCAGTGAAGAGTGCCTGGAGTATCCGATGACAATATTACCTGATTTCTTACTCTAGAAGCAATGCCAAAGAAATAACACCCAGCCATTAATAAGATTCTGCTATTGGCACTTTAGCAGAGTATGAAAGAGAAAGAAGAACAGTTGAATCAGATCTGATTCTCCATATCATTTTAATCAGTAGTTTTGCACCTGCTTTCTCATTGCCAGTTTAATTTAAATATTCCATGACCTAAAAACACTCCAAAATGTTTCTCAAAGGCTCCATAAGGATTCAAGTCAAAAGTGGGAAAATAAAGAAAGTAGTTCATGGTCTTACAGAAAAACATTTTGTTAATGACTAGATTCTAACTATATACTTCTTGACCTAGTTTAAAGAAACACAAATAACCCTATGTTCTCAAGCAGTACTAAAATGAAGTTCAAAAAGTCAAAACTCATTCAGACCTGCAAAATGGGTTGTCAAAAATATAACATCTAAATTTTCAAATTCAACAGTGCTTGACAGGTATCTCTTGTTTCTCCATGAAGAGTTATTAACTTTAAAAAATTTCTTAGATATGAAGAATGTGCAATAATTTGCTTAACAGACCAGTAAACACATTAATGAAGTCATAGTATTGCAAGCGTATTTAAATGGTTGTTTTGCCCATGTCTTCGCCTTTCTTAGTTGCCTAAGCTTTATATTCTTTGGAAATTTCTGTAACTATTTATAAAAATGTACCATGCCAATTAGGTCATTTTTAGTATTAAAATATTCAACTCTAGTAATAAAAATATCAAGCAGAGAGTAGAGCAGGAACATAATTATTGTATTTGCAAACTAACAATTCTCATGAAGGTTACTACAGGCAGTGAAATACTGATTAACCTAATTTTTCATGAAAGTGTACTGTGCTTCTTTGAATTTTCTTAACTAAAACACAAAAGGTTTATTAAAACCATTCCCAAAATAGCATTTAGTATACACTTCAGCCTTGACATTAACACTGTACAATTCAACTGGAACGTAATTACATGGATTTTGAGTAATTTACTGGAAAGTTACACATGTGAATGAGTGTTTCTTATCTTCCTCAACACTGACCTAGCAAAATTCTGTGAAACAAATTTAATGACTCATAGCATTATTTTATGAGCATCGGCAAAAATTAAGATTTGTAATTTGAAAATTTTTCCTGTTTTTTCATTATAAGGTAAATAACTTAAACTTTATCTTCTCCTAATACATAAGTAGTAGGTTTCTAATTACAGTCTTTTCTTCTTTTATATGACATACATACCAAGCTTGATCATTCAACTTTTCCCTAAGATATTTAATAACATTTAAAGGGAAAGAAAAAAACACAAGTGATATATATGTTTTATAAATATGGTGTTGTTTAAAAAAGAAAGTCAAAATAAAACTAAAACAAAAATATTTTTGGCTGGATGGTTACAATGTGAGTCTGTATATATATATATATATATATATATATATATATATATATATATATATATATATATATTACAGTTATATCAGGGTGAGTCTTTTTCTTTGGAATGAAGTAATCCCCGTTTTGTGACTAAATTTTGAGCACCATGTATTGCCATAGCCATTTTCTTGCCTGGGATCTCTACAAAGGTGCTTGGATTTTGTGTATTTCTAGGTAATTGTCCCATCTATCACAGTAACATATCAGTGATTAACATTTTGGTATACGATACTACTTTACATTATAGTGAAAGCTGTATTACCTTCAAATTACTATTTCACATAAAGTTGAAACTTTTTAAAGAATCAGTTATCTTCCTATAATCTCATCTATAATGTTTAAAAACAATTGGCCAGGAATTTGAAGCTATTTAAGTAAGGCCTTCTTGTCTGTCTGATTTTCATGTGTAAAAAACCTACAAGGATAAATTAAATATATCTGAGGGCTTTTCCCTTAAACAAATCCACATTACACAAGCTACCTACATACCTTCCATTCTTTGTCACATCTGACCCTACACATCTGAACAGAGCTTAAAACTGAAAATTCGAGGAAGAGGGCAACATCCCTGACTAGGGAGAGGATCTGCCTACTGCAGAAAACTGGAGCAGTCAAGGACTGATTGGAAATCCCATTTCAAGGAGTTAATGAGATAAACTGAAAATGACTCACCCCTATATAAATGTGTGAGTGCCATTTTGTAGTATAAAATCTTAGGTAGTAAACTAAATTACCTGCCCATGGGTATGGTAAAATATGTATGGAAATAAAAAAAAGATCAAATTACCTAATGAAATTCTCCTCTACCTTTTGAACCCTTATCGTATTATTGCTATATTAAGAACTGTGGAAACTGAATCCCAAACTTCTCTTCTGATATGCTATTCAGATTTGAAGGCTGGAAGTCAGGACCCAGGCTAACTCTGCTTTTCAGCAATCCAATACTAGCAGAATTCTGAAAAGGGAGTTTCACCATTGCTACCCCTGAATAAAAAGGAAAGAGAATAGATGTCAGGTAATATCAACATCAGATGTCACAGGCAGTCATCAGGTTATTCTTTCAGCTGCTTACCAGTGTGACTCCTTTTATGTACCATAAGCACATTGGGCCCAATGCAAACCATGCCACAGACGTCACATTTCAGTTTACCATTCGGAAGCCGGATTCCTCCCTCGCCTTGAAGCTCCTGGACTTTTCTGTTGTCAGCCACCTCGCTGCTCTCAATTAGGGGCTCTTCTAGGCTGCTACCCTCATCATGGCCCCTGATCTCATCTTCGCGGCTCAGGGGTTTCCTGTCACACTCTTCATCACTCTGCATTTCTAGCTTTACTGAATTTGCTGTAATTAAAAAAAGGAAATATTAAGTATATGCTATGTACTCTTACCTACATCTCTCCTACTACCTGTCATTAGACAAGATGGATGCAAATGATACATAAAGTAGAATAGTGTCCATCATCAAGACCATGCTGATACATACCTTGCCTTATGGTTTTTCATTGAAGCTTTGCTAATTAGAGCTCTAGGCAAACAGAGAGACTCTACTTCTGCATAGACACATTCATTTGCTTAACTCAATTATTTTTGTTTTTTGAATAAGTATACTTTTCACCCTGGCTTTTGGGTTAGTTATTAAGGCCACTAGTGTGAGACACATTTATGGAAGACACAAGGTTAAATATTGCTTAACACACAGAGCCATGCCTCTTCTTAAACAACCATCACTATTTAGTTCATATTCTCTGCTTCACATCATAGAACTTGTATAAACCTGCTTTCAAACAGAGCAAGAGAAACAAATCATGATCTTAATCCCCCTAATGTCTTCCACATATAAAGGCACACAATCAAGGCAAATGTCTTAAAATCAGACTAAATACAAATATTTGTTTAAGACCTGCATAAATTCAGGGCAAAGTGAACAGACCTCATGTACCCTAAAATTAACTCTCCCCTTTTTCTTGTATGAAAAAAGAAGAAAAAAAGAATTCTCTATGGAACACATGAGTCTGCAAATCAAGTATATCTAACTAATCTCTGGACACCAAAAAGGAGTTAGTGACAGAAATGGCAGAGCATGCATGTAGACACTTGTGACTATTGAGAAATTTAATGCCTTCTGTTTGCTGTTTTTGGATCATCCCACAGAAAAGTTGGAATTCTGTTAGTACAGCCCTCATTCTGGATTGCTGACAAGTCTTTTCACAAAGCAAAAGCAAACTTTAAGTTAATATCAGTTTTTAAATTTGGTGACCTTGAACATTTCTGAAGAAGTCATATCTAAGTTGCAGAACAAAACAAATTATTTAGTAGTACTTGAGTAGAGGAAACATTTTCATGGAAAGGAAGTATTTTTCACTGCATGTATTTTGTTACTTATACTTCTCAGGACAAGCAGTGCTATCAAAATGGCTCTTTTCCTGTCCTCCTCAAAGTCCCCTTAACAAGACACAATGAGTACTAGCAGTATAAACCTGAACTAATTATTTAACCTTGACTTCTTACATCTTTCACTTGCAAAGTGGAGATGAATTCAGATGAGTGAATTAAGTTAGAGCAGAAGAATTTACTGAGTAAGGGTGACAGTCCTTAACTTCCTAAGCATTTTAATGAACTTAAGATCTCTATGTCCTCCATAAAGTACAGATGATAACAGTACCTACCTCCTAGAGTTAATGAAAACATGAAATGGGTAAAAATAGAAACCTTGCTCACCTATCACTTTTCTCTAGAAATGCAGTGCTCTCTCTCTCTCTCTCTCTCTCTATATATATATATATACATAAATATAAATCTGATTTTATATATATATATATATATATATAATCAGATTTTTTGTGAAGATCCCTTAACATAGAGTATACTCCATAGTCTACAAAAGGACACAAGTTCTTGCTGAACCCAACACCGACACAACATGTATTGTTTGAGGTTTTACTTTAGTTAGAAACTGCTATGACCTTACAGGGATTATAGAAATCTATGAACAAAATTTTCTCCAATGTGATATCCGTAGCATGCTCAAGAAACTAGGATACATAGCAGATGTTAAATTGATATTCACTGATTAACAAGGCAATTAATACATTTGTTACTAAGTTTATATATCCTTCTAAACTTGTTTAATACATTTAAAGAATGTATTCTAAACAAGGTTCACAGTACTTCAGACACAATCTCAAAGAGACATCATGACCATAGTTTTCATACTCAGAAGTATGTCTGAATCCATTTTTAAATATAACTTTTTCATTTGACAATCATTAGAACTCTAAGATTATTCTTCTTTGTTGCCATATTAGAGTACTGTCAATGTGAAAATTGTCACTTATGTACAATTTTTAACATGCATTTAAAAACTATAAGTAAAATTGGCCACTTTTTTGTACAATTAAATATCAAAATCAAAATTATTTACCAAGGTTTTTTGCTAGACTGCATGTCTTTTCTCATTGGATTTAAATGTTCTTTATATGCAAGTCGAATATCCCTTATCTAAAATTCTGAAAATACAGTATCTAAAGTGTTTTGAGCAATGATTTCATTTGACAGGTTATAGTTAAAATGTAGGCACAAAAGAGAAATGTACACATTACCTGAATTGTGAAATGGTAAACCCTCAGTACAACACCATAATAATAATACAATCATATTTTTTAAAATGCAGGCACAATAAAAATGTGTAAAATTACCTTCAGGCTATATGTGTTAGGTTTTATATGGATCAAAATTTCTTCTGTCAACTTCAGTTCCATCCCCCAAAATAACTTATGATGTACATAAGAGTATTCTAAAAATCCAAATAAACTTAGGAATACCTCTCATCCAAGGAATTTCTGGCAGAAGATATTTAACCTATACTAATGAAGTTAGTCTTATATTGCTCTGGTTTACAAATACTTTGGGTTTACCATTTTACTCAAGGGTATTCTCTGGCATATATGCTAGTTTCATATACATTTTTAAAGTTTTCCACTATAAATTTTAGGTTCAATATCTTTCTTCAAGAAAGTTTCTACCCTCAAGATATTTTGTGTGTGTGTGTGTGTGTGTGTGTGTGTGTGTGTGTGTGTGTGTGTGTGTGTGTGTGTGTGTGTGCGCGTGTATAGCTATTGGTTGCCCAATGTAATCTAACATATTATTAATAATTGTTATTCAAAAGGGAAATTAAGCTGAAATAAGCACATGAAAACATGACTTTATAAAGCATGATTTAACCCAGCCCATGAATATAGATATAAAAACCTAACAATAGGCATGGAAAATATTATTTACAACTGATCACATATAAACATAGTTATCAGAAGCTTGTACTCCTAAAAGAATATATTGGAAGCCAATATAAAGAAAAGATGTTTTTGTTAGCACTGAGACAAAAAAAATGACTGTCATAGTATGATGAATTATTTCTATTAATTTATAAAGAATAATATGTTCATCATTTATGAATATGAATCCTAGTGCTGTCCTAATACAGTAAATTAGTAGTATAATGTATTTTAATAATGTTATAAATTAAATTTTATAAAAATGGTCTAATGTATAAACAATACCACAGTAATTAATTTTAAGGAAAATCTCTAAAATGTAGCTGAAATTCCATATGTAAGAAAACTGGACTTGAGATATGGCTGAAATGGTAGAATGTCAGCCCAGCATTGAGTGAAAAGGAGAATACAAGACTGAGCTCAAGCCCAGTTATTGAATATACATACATACAAACAGACACACATCTTACTATTACAAATCTCAAGAATAATTTTTCAGGCTTGTTTTTCCAATATGAATTGAGGTTTACACACATTAATGTACACTTACAAGCAAGAATGACTTAACAAAAATACTATTTTGGCTAAGGGTGTGGCTATAGTGGTAGAGTATCTGCCTTGCAAGCACAAGGACCATTCAAGCCATGGAACTGTCAAAAAAAAAAAAAAAAAGGAAAAGAAAAGAAATCTTCAGGAAAATGGATTTTTGTTAGGCAAGAAGCAAGTTTGTGTGTGTGTGTGTGTGTGTGTGTGTGTGTGTGTGTGTGTGTGTGTGTGTGTGTGTGTAGTAAAGGCTGCTTGACTTGAACCTATAGCTTTCTGCATGTACAGCTTTCATGAAATTTTCAGTGTTCTGTTTTAGTATAATAGTGGTTGAAAGAAAATTGTCACTATAATATAATTGAATTTATTTAACAGTTTCATAAAATATTATAATTTTTCCAAACTTTGTTTTAGATTCTAGCTATGAACTATAATTATTGAAGGATACAGTTTTGCATAGAAAAAGAATAAACTGATGAAGTAACTAAAATCATATTTCATCGCCCCTTGTTATGACTCTAAGAACAGCAGTGTAAGTTTCTCTGCACCTAAAGGAGAGAAGTCTCTTCCTCTCTGCCACTTAACTAGTTGATGGACCTAGGGAACTTGGTTTATAAGGACTCAGCCAACCTACATCATCTAAAATAAGAAAGGAAAAGAAACAACTGAATAACAACAAAAAACTACTTGATATCCTGAGAACAACTGGCTAGGTAATTCAGTTTCTTGTAGCAATGATAATGATAATATCAAAATAGCGTAATTTTTTTGTTTCATAAAAATACATATTCTGTCTCATTTGACATCCTGAACAAGTAAATTCTAAAGCATCACTTACTAGTGGTAGTTAGCAATTTGAGGACTATGTTAGTTATTATCCATTTTAACCTGTAAAACAACAGTTGGTGGAGAAATGCCATATTATCAAGACTTCTTTGGGGGACATGTTCTGACTGTTGCATAAATTATTGGTGTAGAGATAAATCACACCTTCATCTTCTCAATTGAAGTAAATACATAGTGTCCCCCAACTTTTCTTGAGGAAATAAATATGTAAAACAAAAGAGGGCAAAACATTAAGCTCCTGGAGATTTCCTACAATTCATAAAACCTTATATATTACCCAAACTGGTGGCACCACTGTAGCTCAAGAATGGAGTTTCTATTTTTTGGCTAACAACTAGAGAATGTAGAGCAAATCAGCCTAATTTAAAAAGAAATGCCATAAACAATGCCCTATCCCTTTATCCAGCCTTTAAATGAATGATTAAGTTCTAACGATTCCATATTTACCATGCCTGATTATTAACTCCATTTTTACACCTCCTTTTGGGCAATATAATTACTTTGAAATCCTTATGACCTCTCAGACGAAAGTATTTCAACAGCTTTCTGAAACTGTTCTCTTTTCTTTTTTAAAATTTTTTATCAGTTTTTTTAATTGTGAAAATACCATACAAAGGGGTTACAATTACATGAGCAAGGTAATGAATACATTTCTTATCAAGCATTGTTGCCTCCTCCTTT